CACGTAAAAGTTACATAACGTACAACCCCGTTATCATCATTTTTTGAATTTCTTTTCCTCACAGGAAAACCGATTTGGTAAGCGTAGTTTTTGTAAAACTCAAACACCTCTCTCTCATCCTTAAACTTCATTCCAAATTGGGCACAATAATGTATGTTCCTTCCCATGAGCTCTTATCATTCGGATTGTCATCTACAGATGAAAGAATTTCCAAATATCCTACATTCACAAAAAAAAAAATGACAAAAACCAATTAGAATTGTTGGCACAACACCATTGAAATATAGAATTAAAACTGTAAAAGGAAATTAATTGAGAGTGATGTGCATAAATAAAACATTCAGTTTCTATTAGGAAGATTTGGCATGGAAGCTTTCTTATGTAATTCAATCTAAAATAATATCACCTTATTGTTTCCCGTAATTAAAAAAAAAAAAGTAAAGCCAGGAAAAAATGTTTGGACACACAAAAAAATCTCCATTAATCATCAACCTGCACGCACAAGATATAAGTCCAACATGTTATTCATTCCTCAATTTCATTATTTTGCAGTTAATGGCGTGCCGTGAAAAACACAATCCAAACTATAACAAAGTTCATCTATTGATGTAAATCTCAACAGATCTATCACCATTTTTTTTATAAACATGATAATAATAATAATAATAAAAATGAATAGAGAATGAAAGTTGAAAAGTAAGCTGGAAAAATAAATGTTTCAACTGGAAGAAGAGTAAGCTGGAAAAACCGTACCCATGTTGTCGCTAGCGTCGAAGTTGTCGCCGTGGGAGTCGTCAGCTTCCATTTCGTCGACTTCTCCATAAAACGATTGTTTCTCTTCGACCGCAAAAGATGGGGGTAAGAATGTCGGGTTTACCATAGGGTTGACATCGGTGTCAATGTTGTCGGAGTATTGGAATGAAAAAGCACGATGTTCCATTTCTATAGAGATGAAAGGGTTTGCAATTGAGAATGAGGAAATGATGGGGTAGGGTAAAGTAAAATGAAGCCTTTTCATTACTTTTTTTTTAAAATATAATAAATTTGGCGAGATTTTGACTTTTCAAACAAACAGCCATGTCACCAGGCTGTAACCCATTCGATGGATGGTGCTATACATATAGCACTACCCATTCCATAATACATTTTCCTACAACAATGGGGCTCAAGCAAGGGCAAAATTCACAATAAAAATCCTCAATTGCAAGAAATGCTTGTCGTACATAGTAGCCTAGTAGGTACAGTGTTGCGACTCCACTTGACCACCATAAGCCACAAACACACTAGCCTGTCGCTAGACCATCGAATCACCACCACACCCAACAAACTAAATTTGTGATGAACTAATTTTGAGGTTGTGTGTGTGTGTGTGTGTGTGTATATATATATATAAAAGTTACTTTTTTATTTAGGATTGTAATAACTCGTGATAAGGTTTGTAATATGTCAACAAAATATGAGAACTCATAGGGCTTGCTTGGCAGTTATATTTTTTTACCGATTTTCAGTGACATTGTTTATGAGATGTTGAAAAAATCGGTGCTTACTATTTTTTTGGGCACCGATTTTAGATTGTTTAAAAATCATCCAAAATCGATATAGTGTAATTTTGATCAGTTCTCTCAACATACTAAATCGACAAGTTTTGGCATTTTTCTTCTAATTTTACCATATTTTCTTCAAAACTAATTTGTAAATAAAAATATATTATAACTAAAAAATTATCTATAAGCAAAAAAAATTGCACTGTAATTAAAAAAATACTTAAAAGCAAAGTATTATTTATATTTTAATAAAAAAACTGCTAATAAGAAAAAAATTATTTATAAAATAAAAATACTACTAATAAGACAAAAATTCAGTTATAAAATATAAAATTTTGCTTATAAATAAAAAAATCACTTAAATTTATTCAAAAGTATAAAATTAATTTATAAAGGTAAAATTTACTTATAAATAAACAATATTAACTTAAAATTTTAGTAAAATATTTAACTTTATTTAATTTTTAAAGTTAAATATTAAATTATATGTAAAAATGTTACTTATAAGTAAAATATCACTTATGATAAAAAAATCATAAAATAAATTATAAATTGAAAATTTTATTAAGGAACATATATGTAATTTTATTCTTTTAAAACTTTTAGGACCAATGGATAATAAACTCCCAAACATATGTTGAATAGTTTTAAAAATCGTTAATAAAACCACCCAAAAACGATCAACTCGTAAACATTCAAAATCGATACTTTAAAAAAAAAAAATTATAGCCGATATGACGAAACCCAGGGAGAGCCCTTGTAATAAGTATCTAAAAGAGCCTTGCTACAAGTAAATCAGGCCCTGCCAGACAAAACACATTGGGGGGTGGGCCACAGTTTTTTTTTTTTAATACAGAGGTGGGGCCTCGGCTACAGTGAGAGGGTCTGTAATGCCCCTATGAAAGCGCCCTGTACTTGGGGAATTGCCCTTATTTTTATGTGACATTGATCTCCTAGGTCAACATATATCGCTTTGTGGGATGAAATGAAATGATTATTAAGTACTAAATATGTCATATGTAATATCGAACTCATTTATTAGATCAATGTTTTTCAATGTAGACAAGGTATGTTCATTGTTAGGGAATATCTAACCCATTTCGAAAAGCTATTGCATAATTGTTGACACATCCTTCCTAAAGATCTGGTTGCTATTCTGATCTTGGCGATCATTGTTAGCTGACAAATACTGTCTGGACACTCATTCCCTCACGGCTTTTGTTCCGTATTGAACTTCACATGTTTGGGGACGACTAAGCTTATTGATCCACAGGTAGATTTTGGGTCAGGGTCACATATTTCTTTAGCACGACTATCCGATGGAGGATTCTATCCTTGCAGCTGTTTCCACTCCGATATCTCACTTTCGCATGGGTACACATGATTTCTTTGACGATACTAGCTGGGACACTGATTGTCTATTACAGGTCCTTCCACCTTGTGGGACAGAACATGCGTGGGCTGCCAA